TCGCGCCCGCCCAGCCCTTTCCCTAGCCATGATGTTACAGCCCCTTGCCCAGTGCCAAGGAGTAAATTTGAGGTTGCTCTTACTCAACACACAGTCACCCTGCACAGGGTGGCAGGTTCCCCGGGAGCACTGGCAGGGTGAGGAACAGTTCACACCAAAATACCCCTCCGGACAGGTGTCGTTGCAGCTGGAAGAGAGAGGAAAGGAGGGGAAATGCCCCCGAAGACAGCGGGGTCCCAACCCTGCCCCGCTCCCAGCGTTACCTGGCTCCCCAGTAGCCCGCCTGGCAGATGCAAGCTCCAGATATGGGGTCGCAGCTCCCCGCAACACACTCGGGGCAGAGGAGCTGGCATCCGTCACCGAAGGTGCCCGTGGGGCATGGCCGAGACAGAGAGCGAAGCGTCAGCCCGCTGCGCCCCGGAGGAGGGACCCCCCTGTGAGGACCAGTGGCCTGATCCCGGGTGTACCTGGGTCCCGTCCAGCCGGGATCACAGCGCAGGCAGGACCCTGTCTCCGGGTCGCAGGGCTCCCCGCGCTGGCAGCGGGGACATGGCTGGAGTCAGCCCTCGCCGTGAAAGCCGGACGCGCAGGGTTCCTTGCAGAGGGTCCCGTTCCAGCCGGGCTGGCAGGCCAGGCAGAAGCCGTCCACGGGCGAGCAGGGCTGGCTGCGCTTGCAGCTCCCACAGCTGCATGGGCAGAGGGGCAGTGAGGCCTCGATGCCCACCCTCGGCCTCTCCAAAACACAGGTTTCCCCCCATGCTGGCATCGGGCATCAGTTTGGACCATGGGGAAATGCCCTATAGCGCCTAACGCTCTGTAGTAGCAAGAGGGCAGGGGGCAAGCAGGGAGAGATGCTGCTTTATCACCCTGGGGAGTGGGACCAAGGATGACTGGAATTTAGGATGACACCAGCACTTTCTGCCGGCATTAGTGAGATGTTGCTTTTGGGGCAACACTGATGCTGCATCCAACTAGGGATGCTCAAACCCCCCAGGACAGGTCTCCCTGCCCAGCCAAAGGGAAAGACACGACCACGATGACTTTCCCCCCCAAGGTCTGGCTGCAGCCCAGGGTACCCACTAGATCCCCCCCCCTCCACTGCCCCCCGCTCCCCTGTGCACA